ATCGTTGAAACGAAAACTAGTAGATTCTAATACAGCGTCGATTCCATATAAAAATTGTGTCAAACTAAAATTTGTGTTACATGAAATATCCTTCCAACGTTTTTCAATAGCTTTTAAAACTAATTCCTTAGGAATGTTTGTGAATAAAGAAGTGACGTCAAGAGAAATTAACATTTCATTATCTTCAATACTCAAATTCTTGATTTTATTCGCGAACGTCCAACCGTCTTTAATATGTGAGATAGGTTTCGTAATTGATCGTTCCAATATATCATGTAAAAAACGCGCTATACTGTACACCGGGCTCCCAAGTGACGAAACAATTATACGTAAAGGCGCGTTAACTTTGTGAATCTTCGGTAGACCGTAACATCGAGGAAGGTTCCCATTTGTGGTATTAAGTCGTTTATATGTCATTTCATCAATCAATTTATTATCTCGCCATGATTTGATTAAAGAATTGATTCTACCCGAAACTTTCTTGATTATCTACTATTAATTTTACTGCACATTGACCGAATGATGGTGCTTACACGGAGAGGTGGTTTTTTTAAACAATCTCTGATCATTATGGTTTTAACCACACATTGTTGCTGAAATCATGGATTGATATCAAGAAGAAGTTATTTACATCGAAACATCAACTAATTTTCCTGCTTCGATGCAGAAGATTGGATTTACTTCCACCACACATCAAGAAATTGAAATTGAACATCTTTTTCTACAGTAATAGCGTAAACCAAAAATTTGATTATTTTTCTAGACGAACTCGAATTAGATTGTTGAACTTAGAAATTAAAGATTTAAATTATAACATAAAGTTCTTACATTCCAAACTTTATAACATCGAAAAAAGGATGTTTGACTTACTTCCACGTACTTTAATTAACAGATTTTTTGAACTTAATCAACATAAATTATTTATTTTTAATAAAACGAAAAAGGATAACGCGATTAAAAAGTTCAATAATTTATTACGTAATAATGATGTTTCACTTAACCCCTTTAGTAAAATTGACAGATCGAAATGGATAGTAAATTTGAGCAATAAAATTATTCCAGAGAACATTCTAGATTTTTTAAGCTTAGGTGATAAATTCGGGTTGCCTGTCTCACAGAATTATAAGAATGACCGCACTAACATTGTTATCGATATAGCTAAGAACCTAGAAATTAATTGCACTAAGATTCCTAATGCTCTTGTTGAATCGACAAGAAACGAGGTAACTAAAGCGGCATATGGATTTCTTAGAAAAAAGAAACACACTAGCTACATAGATAGATACATTATAAACAACTCTAAACAATGTCATAGTTATCTACGTGATAACGATGACATTTTAGTTACGACAGCCGATAAGGGTCAAACTACAGTTATTATGGACAAAAAAGATTATATTGACAAAATGAATGTTTTACTAAGTGATCAAGGTACATATACTAAACTGAAAAAAGATCCGCTCAAGAAAGTTTCGGGTAGAATCAATTCTTTAATCAAATCTTTAATCAAATCATGGCGAGATAATAAATTGATTGATGAAATGACATATAAACGACTTAATACCACAAATGGGAACCTTCCTCGATGTTACGGTCTACCGAAGATTCACAAAGTTAACGCGCCTTTACGTATAATTGTTTCGTCACTTGGGAGCCCGGTGTACAGTATAGCGCGTTTTTTACATGATATATTGGAACGATCAATTACGAAACCTATCTCACATATTAAAGACGGTTGGACGTTCGCGAATAAAATCAAGAATTTGAGTATTGAAGATAATGAAATGTTAATTTCTCTTGACGTCACTTCTTTATTCACAAACATTCCTAAGGAATTAGTTTTAAAAGCTATTGAAAAACGTTGGAAGGATATTTCATGTAACACAAATTTTAGTTTGACACAATTTTTATATGGAATCGACGCTGTATTAGAATCTACTAGTTTTCGTTTCAACGATCAATTTTATGAACAGATACATGGTACGCCAATGGGATCCCCCCTTTCACCTATTTTAGCAGACTTAGTTATGGATGATCTTGAGACAGAATGTTTAAGCTCTTTACAATTTGACATTTCAGTTTATTATAGGTACGTTGATGATATTTTTGCAATAGTACCACGCAATAAAATGGATAACATTTTGACTACTTTTAATAAATACCATCACCGTTTGCAATTTACACATGAAACAGAGATAAATAACAAGATTAACTTTCTGGATACATTGGTTTTTAGAAACAATGGCAAACTATTGACTAGTTGGTACCAGAAACCCACCTTCTCTGGTAGATATTTAAACTACCATTCTAACCATCCGTTTAAATACAAAGTTAACACGATTAATAACTTAGTCGACCACGCTATTTTGTTATCGGATAAACGATTTCATAATGAGAACTTACAGATGGTTAAAAAAATCTTGTTGAATAATTGTTTCCCTAGGACGGTCATCGAGCGATATATGTATAAAAGAACATGTTTTTTAGAAAATTCTCATAACGTAGTTGTGTGGAATTGCGGGAATTCTCTCCCGAATGGGAGACGGCGCGCTGAACCTTGGGTAAAATAAATGTTACTGAGGTGATGAGACAGTCTTTATTCACGACCGAGGATACACTATGGGCTCACAGGCCACGTTCGGCCACGGTTTCGGTGCGAAGGCTCTTTGCAGCCAAGGCAATAAAGGCGCTGAACAGCGTACACGAAAACTCGCTAATCGCGGCTATATACAATCAGTGGCGGAGTATCGCTTTTCTCCGCGTTTTATCGCGCGCACCGTACTGCCTTAGTCTACGAGGTACTTGATTGTGTTTTTGACGACGAGCCCAGTCCGAAAACGACACAATAGTAGTGGCTCGTCCCGGGGACGAGAGACCGGAACCCCCGTACGCCTTCTTAACTACCAATGGTCGATTGCCAGCACGATCAATCGACTTCGTTATTGGTTCAGTGGTAGGATCACGCGATCGCCATCCGGCGGCTCGGCGTCACGTACAAGGAGCGTGATTATCAGGCGATCATTTATGTCGTTGAAACATAACGCAACAGTAGTTGACAAAAATAATGTATTTGATATTTCGTCTTGTATTTTAATGCCGTATGTTAAGAACCTAAGTGAGACTATTGAGAGATCTATTAAGAAAACAGGCTTAAGTGTTATTTATACGATTCCAAAAAAACTTGATACGTTTATTAAACCTCGAAAAGACAAATTACCTAAAGCCGATATGACCGAGATAGTTTATAAAGTCGACTGCAATGACTGTGACGCCACATACATCGGACAAACTAAAAGACACCTTAATACTCGGATTAAAGAACATATGAATAATATAAAAATGCATGTCAGCAATCAAAATGTTATAAGCAAACATAGAAATGAATTTTCGCATGACTTTAAATGGACAAACTTAAATATTTTACATCGAGAAACAAACACTAGGAAAAGAGAGATTGCTGAAATGTTTTTTATAAAAAAATTTAATAACACGATCAACCTACAGAAAGACACAGAGAATTTGAATCCGATCTATGATAGAATAATCAAAGCTGTTTAACTTAGTTCGTCTTTACCATCCATACCGAACGTTTACGTGACACAATATTTATATTGAAATATGTAAAATGGAACAAAATTAATTATATATTGCACTTAAGAATTTATAAGGTACGTTTTAAATTGGTATTATAATCTTGGTTTGCGCTTTACTTTCTTAAAAATCAAAATTCTTGTATGTACATCTATTGTATTTTTTAATGTTAATTTTAGACTTGATAAGGATCTAAACCTAAGGTCGAAACGTTGTCTTTTCTTGTACATGGCATCAAACAAATAATAATAAGAATTAATTTAAGCCAGTTGGGTCGTCTCACATTTATTTTTAATTTTATTCATCACTGGCGATACAAGATATCTACTATTAATTATATAATTTTGTTAATTTTATTTAAAATTTTTATATCAAGTTGAAATAACTTTTATTTTATTAAAGTTTATTTTAATTTTTTATTTATTTATTTTCTGTTATTTTGATAAACAGCGTGACAAAGCTGTATCAAGCTCTGCAAGAGAGGAAAGCTACATTTACTTATTGAGTTCTTTTAGTTGAAAAAAGCTGCATTTATTTATTGAGTTTTTTTAATTGGGAAAAGCTGCATTTACTTATCGAGTTTTTTTTTTACATAATAAAGCAGCATTATTTACTTGCAGTCAAGCGTACAAAACGTGATTGAAAATCAAAACTGTCATTTCTTGTTCAATTTACATTTTTTTGTTAATTATCGATAAAAAATCATAATAAAATATATATTTGCATTATGCAGTTATATTTCTCTATTTGTATGAAAAATAGGCGTATATGACAATAAAAGACTGATGTATGGATAAATTTTTAACAAAATTGTTTTATTTGTTGTCTTACATATTACATAAGAATTTATTTTATAAAATTTAATATCAAACTTTAATAATTTTTAATTAAAATGAGCTGAATAGAAGATATATAATCGTAATATTCATAATTATTAATAAATGAAATATATTTGTGTAATCGTTATGGTTATAATCGTTATAATCTTGAAACTATAATTGTACATTGTTTCCTAATTTTTATAACTAAAAAAACATAAATATTTGAAAGCACTTTGATAGTTTTGTACATTAAATACATATCATACATATTTTTAATTGAACGACACAGATTGATACAATGCAGTATGTGATATGTCGACGTTGACAACGACACGATATCGATATTTAAAAAAATAATAAACATAATATTTAAATATTAATATTAGAACATAATATTTAAACAAATTTATTTGGATACTCTTATTCAAATCATCGTTGAAACAGTTGTCTACATAATTCGTCTCTGAGATCGCGACCATGTCGATCATCATCCGGATCTTCATTTCTATCTGCTGCTGGGACATTATGTAACAATACCTGCGCATTTATATCAGCATGGTTGTCGACTTCAGGTTCTTCCATGTGTTGCAAATCATCCAAGTCAGCCAAATTGTGAAGAACGCAGCAAGCGAAGATGAATTTGACGATAAATTGCATATTCCTCAACTTGAGGAAATATAACTGTCTGAAACGTTGTTTCAGTATTCCAAATCCATGCTCAACTGAAATTCTGCATTGACTGTGTATACGATTAAAATTTCTTTGGGCCTGTGTCAAATGTCCATTATCCCGATATGGAGTAATTAATTGGAGAAGGCATGGATATGCAGCATCTCCAAGAAGTATGCTTCCATCTAAAATAAAAGCATGTATATTTAAAATTAACAGCTAAGGCTAAGGCTGCTTTTTGATATTCATTCTGCTAGTTGAAAATCTATATTTTATATTATGTACTACAGATTTATAATACTGGCAGTAAATATCAAAACGTAGCCTATGAAAACATTTACAGTGAAGTATATATTTTAATCATAAATCTTACAGATATAGCAATGCATAGTCAACCACATCTACATACATAGAAATATTGAAAAATGTTTCTTTTTTTAATCTCCTCCGGATTTTCGAATACAGAAACTGTTGACGCATGTCATAAATTTGTATAATCAATAGACTCTTATATTAATCGCTCGTATATCAACGGAAAGGTTCGATCGTTCGAACCGACACACGACAACATTATCGACCTTGTTCACCATCCCATGTGATAAGAGTCACGCTGTCACGTGTACATTTTATTTACTCCTATTCTTTCGTCGCTCCGATTCGCCGAAACAAACATCCGATCCCGAGAAAGAGGGGATTCCGTGACGAAAACTCGGAACGCTCCCGAAAACCGAGAATCAGATCTCTGCGAACCGTGCTATCGATCAGCTGCAAATACAAGTAAACATATGTTCGTTGCTGTAATCACTTTCCTCTCGGAGCGAGCCTTCACGAGGCTGTACAAGCCACCAGTCGATCAACAATAATTTGAATTAGAGCGACGCCGTCGCGCCTACTGATATCGACAACATTTTTTGGTCCTTCGAGCCGGATCGCTAACGAGAGAAGACGACAAGTCGTGAAGTACATCATCCAATTACATTTTGGCTGACTTTGATCACAACCTACGTTGTTTAACGCAGCAGCCGCCATTCCAATAATGGCCACCGCAAAGCTTTTGGAGCAACAGCTCGACCTTGTTAGATCGGTTGCAAATGCCGTATCTAATTTCAAAAAACTCGGCCACGCCAAGATGACGTCCACCGTGGCTGCAAACCGGATGGAACGCGTCAAGGAACAGTTCCGGGAGATTCGCGTCAACAACGCCAAGCTGTTAGTCCTCGCCGAGGCCGCTACGAAGACCACGCATCGATACTTCACCGAGGAGCTGTATCAACAAGCCGAGGTCCAGATGGATGCTGCCCTTGACTACCTGGCCGAATTTGCCATACCTCCCATTGCCGCCCCGCACATCAACATCATGGACGCTTCGAACGCAAGTACCGATTATCATCATGGTCCGCGCCCGGTCTCGCGTTTACCGCGAATCGAATTACCGAAATTTGACGGCTCTTTCGAGCGATGGGAAACGTTCCGCGATAGATTTAAAGCAATGGTAATTGACGATCCGATTTTAACAAATGTAGAACGCCTGCATTACTTATGTTCAATCGTTACCGGAACGGCCAGCACTTCGCTGAGTCACTTAGCAGTCACCGATGCGAATTTCGAAGTCGCGTGGCAAATCTTATCGTCGCGCTTTGAAAATCAACGTCGAATCGTCAACTCCCATCTTCAAATTTTATTCTCGTTACCGTCGGCAACGCATGAAACCGCGAAAGAGTTGCAGACTCTGCGTGACACCACCAATACCACCGTACAAGCGCTGAAAAATCTAAAACGTCCCGTCGATACGTGGGACGATGTTCTCGTGTTCCTCGTTTCGCAAAAACTCGACAAAGCTTCGAGAAAAGCGTGGGAATTAAAAATGAGCGAATCGCAAAATTTACCGTCCTATTCTCAACTCGACAAATTTTTAGAGTCTCGCATTCGCGCGTTCGAAGTTATCGCCCCGACGAAAAACATCGAGTCAGCCGAGACTACCTCGTCAAAAATTAAATCGGCCAAATCCGTAGCATCACATACAACGGCCGTGAAGTTCGAATGCCCGGTCTGTAAGGGCCATCATCGTTTATTTCAATGTACACAATTTGCCGCTTATACGCCGGAGCGCCGTTTCGAATTTATTAAATCGAACCGCCGTTGTTATAATTGTTTCGCGGCAAACCATGCGTTAAAGGATTGCACCAACAAGCATCGTTGTCGAGAATGTAAGCAAAAGCATCACACTCTCCTTCACCTTGGAAACCACGCAAAGTTACCGTATGCTGAATCGTCACATTCAAAAGAAGAGACGAAAAAAGACCAAGACAAAAACGTTGTCGCTCTTACCCTAACACGTTCAATGCCAGCTATTCCCGCCGTTCTGCTCGCTACAGCGCGCGTCCGCGTACATTCCGCGCACGGTCGCTTCATTCCCGCTCGCGCGCTTATCGATCCAGGATCGGCTGTGACACTCATTACGGAGAATCTTGCGCAATTACTCCGTCTTCCTCGAGTAAAGCAAAATTTAAGCGTTACTGGCGTTGGTCAAACAAAAACTTCCGCACGCTACGCAGCAAATATCAAAATTAGTCCCGTAAAAAGTAACAATCCCGCGTATTCGACGACGGCTTTAATATTGTGTTCGCTCGCGGAATACGTGCCACCTCCCGTTGCGTCTCACACTAAGTGGACGCACCTCGACGCCCTCGAATTAGCCGATCCTGATTTCCTGAGTCCTACGCCAATCGATATAATAATTGGAGCCGATATGTATGGAAATATTCATCGCGACGGTTCACACAAGGGAACACCACACGAACCGTTCGCGCAGAATACCGCGTTCGGCTGGATTCTCTCGGGTCCTACCGTCGAAACCTGCCCCCGCAATTCCGTACCCGCATATCATACTAACATTTCACCTAATCTTGAGCATACCTTAAAACAGTTCTGGGAACTCGAAGATATCCCAGCCCGCGTTCATCCGAGTCCGGAAGACACCCAATGTGAGGAGCATTTTGTGACGACTCACTACCGCACCATGGAAGGACGCTACGTCGTGCGTCTTCCCTTTAGAAATGGCCCGCCTCGCGACCTTGGAGACTCTCGATTCGCCGCGTTGAAGAGTCTCGAACGGCTCGAACGTCGTTTTCGAACCGACCCATCGTTAGCAACGGAATACACCGCATTCCTTACCGAGTACGCAAACCTAGGTCATATGACTAAGATAAATCCTACCGAATTTCCCGCCCAAGCTCCCGCGTACTACATTCCACACCGTGCCGTGATCCGTGAACATAGCAATACAACCCGACTTCGTGTTGTGTTTAACGCGTCGTGCAACACCGCCACCGGCAAATCATTAAATAGCGCTCTTCATGTAGGAGCAAAATTGCAAACCGATCTAGTAGCGGTCGTCCTCCAATGGCGACAACCTCGATTTGCACTATCAGCGGACATCGCCAAAATGTATAGGCAGATTTTAGTACACCCTCTCGATACGAAGTATCAATGCCTCTTATGGCGATCGTCTCCGACGGCTCAGGTCGACGAATACCGACTTCTTACCGTCACTTACGGCACCGCCGCTGCCCCATTCTTGGCCTTGCGAGTCTTACGGCAATTAGCCGAGGACGAAGGCTCACAGTTTCCGCTCGCGGTACCGGTTCTATTACAGCAAACGTACGTCGACGACTGTACTTTCGGCGCCGACGACCTTGAAACTGCCAAACAAACACGAGATCAGTTAATTTCGTTGCTATCTCAAGGCTGTTTTCGTTTGCGTAAGTGGGCGAGCAATTGCCCTACGCTCCTTGAAGATCTCGATCCTTCCGACCATGGACTCGCAACCAACAAAGATTTGCACGATCACGATTCCATTAAAATTCTCGGAGTTACCTGGAAACCGGAACACGATATCTTCACCTTTCAAGTTTCGAATTTAATAACAGTCGCGAAAACTAAGCGCGGAATATTATCAGTCATCGCGCAACTCTTCGACCCACTCGGGTGGGTAGCTCCCGTTATCGTAACCGCGAAAATTTTCCTGCAGCATCTCTGGTTGACGAAGTCTGATTGGGATGACGAGCTTCCCGCCGAGATGTTGCGCGAATGGGAAACATTTCAATTGACGTTGCCTCTCCTTGAGCAGTTAACTATTCCGCGCTGGACGCAGTATCATCCGAACAACAGAATTGAATTACACGGATTCGCAGACGCCTCCACGCGAGCGTATGCGGCAGCGCTTTACCTCCGTGTCATTTCGGGCGACGGTTGCATTACCAATACTCTGATCCTCGCTAAGTCTAAAGTCGCGCCGCTCAAAACCATTAGCGTCCCGCGTTTGGAGCTTTGCGCTGCGCTCCTACTAGCACAACTCATAGATTTCGCTCGTTCTGCTCTTCACCTTCCCGATATCGATTATTGGTGTTGGAGCGATTCCATGGTCGTCCTCGCTTGGATACGTCAAAGTCCCTCGCGGTGGAAGACGTTTGTCGCGAATAGAGTCTCAAAAATGCAACAGCTTCTTCCCAATGGAAAATGGAATCACGTGCCCACGCACGACAACCCCGCAGATTGCGCATCTCGCGGTACCGACCCTGCCTCTCTTATTAATCACCAACTTTGGTGGCACGGCCCACCATGGTTATCACATTCGTCCGATCAATGGCCAGTCATATCCGACATCCCGGCAACGCATAGTGAATTACGCGATTCAAAAGCTTGCGCGACATGCTCGGTAAACCATTGGGAGCTTGAATCCCGATTTTCCTCGTGGCCGAAATTACTGCGCGTCACCGCGTATATCCTTCGTTTCGTTCGCAACGCTCGTACCCAGACGAAAACACAATGCGATGCCTCTCACTCGCACCCGCATGCTCTCCGGTCCGATGAGCTGGTCGCCGCTCATAATTTTTGGATTCGACGGATTCAACTCAATCTATTTGCTGACGACATAGCTCGCCTAAAACAACTACGTTGCGTCTCAAAAACTAGTCCATTAGCTTCGCTTTCTCCTTACATAGACAGAGACAGCTTGTTACGCGTTCGAGGCCGATTAAAGCACGCAAGCCTGTCAGATGACGCTAAACATCCGCTAATTTTAAAATCACATCCATTGGTCCACCTCCTTATCAAACAGATTCATGTTGCGGCCCTACACGCCGGTCCGCAACTCACACTCACGCTCCTGCGACAACAGTATTGGCTAATTCGCGCTCGCGCCACTGTGCGTACCGTCCTCTACCAATGTATTGTGTGCACACGGGAGAATGCACGCGTGCCCGAACAGCTTATGGGCGACCTGCCGGATTTCCGCGTGAACCCGACTTCACGCGCCTTTAATCATACCGGCGTCGATTACGCGGGTCCGTTACTAGTGCGTACGACTAAAGGTCGTGGTCATAAAGCCCAAAAAGCTTACCTCGCAATTTTTGTATGCATGACCACGAAAGCACTGCACCTAGACGCAGTATCGGATTATACTACCGCGTCGTTCCTTGCCGCGTATCATCGTTTTACCGCACGTCGTGGCATTCCGCATGCAATGTACTCCGATCACGGTACCACGTTTCAAGGTGCCGATCAAGAGCTTACGGCCTCCTTCCATGCAGCCACGCGTGATCCAGCATTTCAAAATTACATAGCTCAAGAAAATACTGCATGGCATTTCATACCTCCCGCTGCGCCGCATTTCGGAGGCCTATGGGAGGCTGCCGTACGCTCTGTGAAACATCACATTAAACGCGCTATTGGAACGCACACCTTAACGTTCGAAGAGATAACCACATTACTATGCCGTATCGAACTTTTCTTAAATTCTCGTCCCATCGCTTCCGTGTCCGACGCTTTAGACGATTATACCGCTCTGACTCCGGGTCATTTTTTGATCGGCGCATCCTTAAGCTCGATCCCGGAGCCGAGCTTACTCGAACTCGCCGAAAATCGTTTATCTCGCTGGCAACTAGTGCAGCAATTAAGCGAACGCGTCTGGAAGGCATGGAAAGATACGTATTTGAATACCTTACAACAACGCCCTAAATGGCGTTCTGTACAAACTCTAGCCACACCCGGTAGATTAGTCTTACTTCGCGATCCACTTGCCCCTCCAAGTCGATGGAAGCTTGGGCGTATAGTTAAATGCCATCCAGGCAGCGATCGGCTCGTTCGAGTCGTTACTGTTAAAACGGCTGAAATCCGAGTTCAAGCGCCCCATTACAAAACTTTGTTTTCTTCCGGTCGACATCAATGATAGCGAACATCATTCCGCCATGGCGGGCGGCATTGGATTGTAACTGTCCGATTGAATATTGTAAATTTACGTTAAATTTCATTGACCGCAAATATTGTATTCATATCGAATGTCAATCACATTCGAGGCGGACGGTATGTTGACGCATATCATAAATTTGTATAATCAATAGACTCTTATATTAATCGCTCGTATATCAACGGAAAGGTTCGATCGTTCGAACCGACACACGACAACATTATCGACCTTGTTCACCATCCCATGTGATAAGAGTCACGCTGTCACGTGTACATTTTATTTACTCCTATTCTTTCGTCGCTCCGATTCGCCGAAACAAACATCCGATCCCGAGAAAGAGGGGATTCCGTGACGAAAACTCGGAACGCTCCCGAAAACCGAGAATCAGATCTCTGCGAACCGTGCTATCGATCAGCTGCAAATACAAGTAAACATATGTTCGTTGCTGTAATCACTTTCCTCTCGGAGCGAGCCTTCACGAGGCTGTACAAGCCACCAGTCGATCAACAATAATTTGAATTAAAGCGACGCCGTCGCGCCTACTGATATCGACAACAGAAACTATAGATAATTACCAGTTCATATCTACAAAATATCTACGATTTTAACCGAATTGAATAAGAAATATAAAAATATTTGATTAAAATACAGTAATTAATTATGAATGTAATAAGTTCATACTTCCACAAAATATTGGCAAATCTTCAGCCAAACTGGAATTTGCAAATACTCTTGCATCGTGCACTGAACCAGGATAGCCAATTAATACATCTAAAAACTTTTTCTGTTCATTAACGGTCCCTTGCATGTGTACAGAAAAATAATGCTTTTTATTGATATAAGCCACTGGGTCTTCAGAAGGTTTGTCAATACGGATATGTGAGCCGTCAATACATCCTATAACAGAAAAGAAATACATTAAATGAATTAATATAATTAGATTACACATACTGAATTACAAAACTGTGATAAATTAAATATATCATCGAAGAAAATCACATTATTACCAATTACTCCTGGAAAACCTTTACTTTCAAGATAGTATCTTTGCGTTCTTTGTCTCTCTACTTCAGTAGGATACCGAATAACTTCATTCCTCATATCATACAAAAACTGTGTAACCCTCCGTAAGACAGATTCAAGAGTACTAACAATAAGAGAGAAATCGAATCTGTCAGCAACATCTCTGAAACTAGCACTTTGATGGCCAGCAAACCATAAAAAAGTGAGAATATGTTTTTCAGCTGAAACTACCTTGAATCCTCCATTTCCTATATAAATATTAATCAAACTTTATTCAAAATAAAGTCCAAAATTTTTAGTATACATATCTAATTTTAAAAAATCAATACTTACCTCCTAAATTTCTAAAATATGGCCAATGATTAAATTTCTCTACTATACTCATAAAAAGCGTTCTTTTCAAACGAAAATGCATAACAAATTTCTATCTGTATACATAGGCACTGTATTTTCAATGTAATTGGTTATGCATGTCCTATGTATTCTTTGAACGAAACCTTCTGCAATTTCAACGATTGCGTTAATGGCAATATCTGCAAATACAAATTATATAAAATTCAATAAAAATGCACAAACTACTTAAGGAAAGATGAATTTAAAATTACAAGATTTTTAGAGATTACACCAAAATTAGAAACGTCACATCTTTATCATTAATACTCACTTTCTATTTCATCGTCGTTCCCATTGTCTTCTAACAATTCACCAATTCCTGCCAAAGGTACAGGATTTTCTGCAAAAACGTCATCATTAATATTATTTATTATTATAATGCGAAAACCGTCAAAAAAACCTAGGCGATCCATGCTGTCAAAACCTAACCTAATCGGTCAATGATGTACGATGTGCGATTGAAAGGGAAGGGAGTGCTCAAATCCGTTCGTGTCACTGAGCGTTGGTGCACATAAACCCATCTGATCCAACCGCCATCTTATCTGTGATCCAAGTGCTCTCTGGTGTACATTGGAGCATGTGACGCAAACAAACCTCGAGAGTCATTGAGGAACGCAAGCCGCCTCACCTCGTCAAGGTGACGCATCACGAGGCAGTATAAGTAGATAGGGACAGTGGGAATCTCGTTAATCCATTCATGCGCGTCACTAATTAGATGACGAGGCATTTGGCTATTTAATACATTTATTTTCCATGATACATATATATAATTGATTACATTACATACAAACAAGGTAAACATGTAATCTATTGCATGGATACAATAATAACAAATTAAGATCTTGGTGGTCCCCATCCAGACATCCTCAGGTTGGCACGCCCTCGAGTGACAGATGTTGTTTGATTGAACCGTGCAAAGTTCATATAGGATCCTTTAATGACCCTGGTTGTGATTCCCCTTATGACTGCCTTTGAGATACCAAGCGCCTCCAGTGTATTAGCCGATTCCGTAGCCCACACCCCTCGCCAAGAGAGTGTTATTGTAGAGACCTCCATTTTCCGGGGTGGAACCTGTAACAAACTAGAGGCCTGCTCAAGGAGCTCCGCGTTCCCCGCGTAGTAGACCTTCTTCTTCCTGTGTCCCTCAGCGAGCAACCGAGCGCCCGAGATTATTTGGACGTCCAATATGCGGCCCTCTTCTCCCTTGGATGCTACTATGTCCGGCTTTCTAGCTCCAACCCGTGTGCGGAAAACGTGCTCCCGATGGACTGTAAAACCGCCCCGCTGCAACTCAGATGCCAGGACTGACGCCACCGCATCATGGCGCATAACTCTGCCTCCATGTGTCCTGAAACATTGTTGGATTACATGAGCCGCCGTCTCCCGGACTCCACAGCCACCCCGACAGTTGACGTCCTCCTCATCACGCTTGGATCCTCGTGTGGTCCTCACTCTTGTAGGGAGCGCATTTACCCATATTTTAATATAATTGAGCCAGTCTGAAGATGGTATGTGAACCATAAAGTCATCGAGCCAACGAGTAGACGCTAAAACATTGCCCGCTTCCCGAAGCTCATATCCGTCCACCTTTGCATACAACTCCGTTGGCCACCCCTCTTCCTGTTTTCTGGCCAACATACACCAACGCCTCTTCTTATTACCCCAGTCACTACCTCCAGCGATACGGGCTTCCTCGTATGATGATTGTACAAGTCGCTCCAACCTCGCCAACATCAGTCTGGGAATCAATGTCTCCAATGACAGAACGCCCAAACCACCTTTCTTAATTGGAGAGTGGAAAAAAGCCATGGGAACATCACCCGGCAATCGCAACCACAGTCTAATCGCGCTCCTCACTTGTCTGTCCAGTGTTACGTCCAATAATTCATCTAGCGATAAATTACCTTCTGCACAAGACGGTCTTCTCTCGCGTCTACCTCGGTGGACGTTTAAGAAGCTGCTCTCTATTTGTTTTATGGGCAACCTGCTAGGCCGGCTATACCCAGGGAAGCCGAGAGCTTGAGATTCGATTGAGAGTATCGGACGGAGAAGGAAACTGACGGGTCGGGTCGATAAATAAAGATATTTTACAAATATAATGTCATTTATTCATTTATAAAACCTTTACGTCGATATAAAGTTTATTGGTCCTGACGTGGTTCGTGGGGAGCTTGAAATTGAGTTACAATATGACTGAGCTCCAGTTCCGGATTGTTAGGCTGGTTGAGGTAAGTTATAAAAGAAGTGAAGTTATCTTGCGCTTCCTCGGGGATGACGTTATCGACGTCGTGAGTGAGATTCGCGGTGTCCTCGTTGAGAATGTGAAAGGTTTGTTCGTTGTTAAATTGTAAAATGGGGTCGTACTCTGGCGATGTGATTGGTAGATTTTGATCCGGGATATAATATTCAGGATCGGGTAAGAATTGATGATTAGGGTTCGTTATTAACGTATTTGATTCTAACGGCGAGGGCTCCGGAAATTGCGGGTGAGAATAATCAATGTAGGGCGGAAGGTTATTTATAGGCGAATGAACGTCTGGAGAAGGGGATCGAACGATTACTCGCGTAGGAAATATTTGGACATGTAAATTTAAGACTCTTCTTGTCCTACGTTCGCGTAGTCTGTGGAGACGTTGCTCGTCGCGATCAATTTGATTCTTCCTTCGGAAGGGAGAGACCATCTAATGGTTAAATAAATTTATATGAATAATATGTTTAATAGAACTGAGATAGTTAAATAATCAAAGGTAATTGAATGTGACTCACGTTTAAGTCGTGATTTACGTGTTAAAGAGTTAGAGACGAGATGAAAGGTTAATCTATACGAGAATGCCCTTCACCTGTTAATTAATTAAGCGTTGTGTCAATTATAATTATAATTAAACGATACTGAAAGAGAATTGGTAATAATGTGGAATAGGGAAAGGAGTCTTAGTACATGTATTAATATCTATATCAAGAATATTAATATTTGTACTTTCAAGCATCAAAGATTTAAGTCTTAAATATTGAAGTAATAATTCTTAGTAATTATCAAGACCTCTGTTATTCGGTTTGGTAAAGTATTCGCAACTATTGGAAAATGCAAGGTAATAAAAGCGTAAAAGCGATAGAGAGATAGGTGTTCATCCGGCTAGGCCGGGTTCTCTGGTCCTTGTCTTAATAGGCTAATGCGACGTTCACTTTACTAAACGTGCACCTCAGAGATGACTTGCGAATGTACCTTATGACAGAGTATATTTCTATTGGTTGAAAATAGGGTCGGGTGGTGTACACTTGTCGAATGAATCGAATATCAATATGCAAAATCACTGTCAGTTGGTGTGGTAAAGTATTCGCAACTATTGGAAAATGCAAGGTAATAAAAGCGTAAAAGCGATAGAGAGATAGGTGTTCATCCGGCTAGGCCGGGTTCTCTGGTCCTTGTCTTAATAGGTTAATGCGACGTTCACTTTACTAAACGTGCACCTCAGAGATAACTTGCGAATGTACCTTCTGACAGGATATAGTTTCTAATGTGTACAGAGGAATTAGCGGCATTCAATTCGCTAATATGTGGTAGGATACAGGGTTACATACATATATAAGTAAGCAGTGATACAATAAAATACATAAATATATTTATTATAATAGATCAAATAAGTATGCGAAATTGATTAAATAGTATTTAATAGTATTGGATAGAATATTGAATAGATCGACGATTGTAACGCAGACGTGTGCAGATGCAAATCGTAGATTGGAATAATATCGGAAACGCAGAGTAATATATGGCTTATGCCTATGTTCAAAATTCAGAGTTCGAAAGGTAATGTAAGATTGAGTTAATATTGGATAATTAAATATAATGATTAAATATAATGAGTGCCCGTCGCGCTTTACTATTTAGGGATATGTGAACTGGCTTAAATACTCACAAGGTTAGACAATGTCTAATGTGCCTTACTATGGTACACTTCGCTACTGTGTTCTTCCCTCTGAGTCTGAAGATCTGAGGAGCCTCGGTACCTCGGTCCGAAATGGCGGCTGTGTCTCACCAAAATGGCGGCTATGTCTTCAGGACCCCGTAGTATTTGCTGGTTGAGTGCTGGATTGTTGTTGACTGGAACCACTGCGACGAAATCACTGCCGTTCCGTGCCGGGCGCAGGGTTTATATACCGTAAAATGTGGCTCGCTCCTCCCATCGGGCGATGCGGCTTAGCCAATGGCAAGAGAGATATGCCGGGGAAGTACCGGAGACAATCTGTTCCTGGTAGAGATTGCGACGGTTAAGTCCCGGAGAGATGGCTTCTTAGTAGAGATAGCGGCGTTCCTTTGATGACTCATCGCCGGGCGCTCCGACTTTCCTTATCGTATTCTTAGTAGCGATAGCGGTGCTTCTTTGGTGACTCATCGCTATGCGGCTTGCAACGGGCCTTGCAGGTTGCAACGTGTTTCAGCGTTGCATCATGCATTGCATCATGCTTCTGGAATGTAACGGTCTTCAACCGCCTTTCTAGAACCTTCTAGAATCTTTTAGATGTTTCTTGAGAGTAAAAGCCGAGTTCACATAATAATGTTTCATACCTAATTATCTCATCATTATAGTATACTACTTTATAAGCGATATTTAGGTATTATCCCTTAGAATTTGCGATTTGAAAAAATGCATTGGACAGTTAAAACTTATCAATTTACATTTACATTGCATAACTATTTGTAAATTGATAGAGAGTTTATGTCAGGAATGAATTTCTAAACTGTCCCTGACTGAGTTTAATACTCAGGTTGCACATCTACATTGCATAGCTATAATACTTTCGATTGTATGACGAATGTAATGTTATTACGCATATTGCATATAATTTGTGTCTCTTAATTTGTAAATGAGAATTTTAAGGTTAATAATATATTTGCCATAGGCGTGCTTATTGGCTGGTAATGTTAGTCTTCATATTTGTCGTTAGTCGGTAAGGTAGTTTCCTACTTAATCATCTGTAGTTGGTAAGTCAAGTTCCTGTTTTATCATTGGTCGGTAATGTCAATTTTTATAACGTCGTCGGTCGGTAAGGTAGCTTAGTTATCCGTCTTTAACGTCGGTAATCGGTATTGAGGGATTCGTTTGTGTTATATGTTGGTCAGTAAAGCATCGCCTAAGGACTAGATCTACATGTTCGTGGCTGTATGAAGTGTGTAAAACACTCAGGGGTTGGAGCGTACGACGGGTATAGTATAATTAGGGGTTATGGACATACAATGTGTACGGTGCCTAGGGGTTCGCAAGTATAAATGGTGTAGCGTATACAGGGGCATTAGTAGCATGCAATGTGTAAGGTGTTTCAGGGGTTAGAACATACATTCGTTGTCTGATTTAGGCGCGCTTATTCTCTAACTTTTATGTTTCCTAACGAATGATCCGGAGCAAAGCACCCTTGTTAATTATGCTTTTTATGATAAAAATATTATTTAAAAGTGGGTTGCTACTCCCGTTGTCATTTGTGAGAAGACATGTTTTAACTTATAAGTAATTATATGTGAGATTAAATTGTTTATACCGGTCTTTCATGTAGGTTAGAGATTGTCATAATTAATATGTTAAAGGATAAATTTTTGAAAAAGATTGAAATTTTGAAATTTGTCTGGACGTTACACCAGTTTCCTCAGCTGACCGTATGTCACCCTGCCTAAGACCAGACCATGTG